GCAAAAAAAACGAGCTTAAAAAAAAAACCATGACATTTAAAAGAAAACACAATTCTCCGTTCCAGTTCTTCGCTCCCGGCTCCCGCCAGCTCCCTCCCGCCTTCCTTTTTGCCTTGGAAACGCGTTTCGGGGCTCTGAGCTCTGAGTTTTGGGGGGATTTCTGTCGCAGCCACTGCCTGGGTGGGGGCTCGCGGAAGGTCCCCCCCTCTCTGAGCGTGGCTGCCTGACCTGAGCTGCCCCGTCCTGCTGCCAGAGCCAGGCCGGCAGCCTGAAAAATGGGTCTGTCCTCTGCCAGGCTGGAATAAAGGAGGAGGGCAGGAATCAGGTCTGGGAGCTATTCCTGGAGACAGCCTGTGCCGAAGGCGGCCACGGCCACCAGACGCTGCCCGAGGACCGGGATCATTAGGGCTGGGATGATTAGGACAGGGATGGTGGTGCAGGGAGGAGTAGGCGTTGTTAGGACCAGGATGCTGGTGTTCCTGGGATCAGGTATTGTTAGGATCAGGCTTTATTAGGACTGGGATACTGGTACTATTAGGATCAGGCGTTATTAGGATTGAGATGCTGGTTTCACTGGGATGCTGGTGTTCTAGGATCAGGCATTAATAGGATCAGGCATTATTAGGACTGGCATACCAGTGAAATTAGGATCAGGCATTATTAGGACTGAGATACCAGTGAAATTAGGATCAGGTATTATTAGGACTGAGATGCTGGTGCTGGAATCAGGCATCATTAGGACCAGAATGATATTAGTGTTATTAGGATCAGGAGTTGTTAGGATCAGGGTTTACTAGGACCAGGACGCTGGTACTGTTAGGATCAGGCTTTACTAGGATGGGATTCTGGCACTATGAGGATCAGGTGTTACTAGGACCAGGATGCTGATGTGGGGCACCCATCCAGGGCCTCCTGCAGCTCTGGGGTGCCCACCCCCAACCCCTCGCTGACCCCCAAGCCCCCTCAGCCTCCCCCCTGAGCCGGAGGAGCTGAAGGAGCCGTCAGGAACTTGGCAGGACCCCCAGGTCCTTGTGCAGTAATTCCAGTGTCCTTGTTTCGGGAGCCTGCACAGGGAGGTTTGTGGAACAGTGGGACCTCGGGGGTCCTGAGGGGGGACAGGAATCAGAACCAAGCCCTCAGGAGGTTCTGGGAATGGGGGAATCCCATCCTTGGGAAGAGGAGGTGCCAGCCCCCCCCAACTTGTGTCACCGAGGGATGTGGACACAGGGGACAATCCCAGAGCGGGTCACTCACTGCACAGGGATCCCAGAGGGGGGTCATTGGTCCTGGTTCCAT